GCTTATCGGGGCCTGGAGCCTGGGGCTCGCTCGGGCCACTTCGGGGGTGGGGTGCCCTCGGCCTCTCGGCCTGGGGCTCGGTCACTCTGGCGCAGCTGGCTGCCGGCAGAGCTCCCGGGCACGTCACTGCAACCCCCTCCGCGGCTGCTGAGTGACCCCTTATCTGGGACTCTCCTCGGCTCTTTCTAGGATAGTGGCGCGGCTGCCCCTCTGTTGGTCTTCCTTGGTCTCTTGTGTTCTGAGGGCCTCTGGATGTCTGGAGCCTTGATCTCCTCCATACCTGCTTCATGCAGGCTCCCCACACCCTCTAACAGATCATTACATGTAGGAATCTTTTAAAAACAAGCGTGTTCATGCTCACAGGTGTACACACGGGTGCTCACACACACAAACTACACCCTTTTTGGCTCCTACCTTAAAGCACACTGTGCGCTGTCGATCTTACGTGCTGCACAATAATGTTTAACATTTAGTATTTACTGTTATATTCCCTTTCTCTTGTTCCTTTAGTACAACACTGTCCATCATGGCTGTCGAACACACAGTCATGCTCCTGGTGGCAGTTTGTCTCTACCTACCAGGTCTAACCCATGGATTTCAACCATCCTTCTCTGTTGATGAAACTCATCGTGACATTACCAGAAAGGCAGTTCTCAGAAAGACAGCTGAGGTTTGCCGATACCTTGCCGCCGCTGATGGAAGAGACTTCAACTTGAATGTGGGCTTATTATCATTTAAAACAGGGTCACTGTTTATGCATTCATGTTTAGTCTAACATAACTGTGAAATTTAACATTTTGAGATTTTTCCAAATGTCCAGTTAAGCACTTGGCATTTCTTTGTCTCCAGATTGATGACAACCTTTCAGTTCAGGAGGTGCAAAAGGCCTGTTTCTCCTCATCTACCTCCACCGCTCCGCTCTCTACTGACATTTTCCAAACTGCCATTAATGAGATCTACGGTAGCAACGAAAAAGTGTATTTCTCATTGGTCGATTTCCCTGAGTTCCATTTTCACAGTGAGACCTTCCTGGGAGGACGGGACATCATCACAAGAGGTACACTTTAAAGTCCTCAAAATTAAATGTGTTTACATTCAGTACAACACAGATAGTAGATTATTTTGAATTTTTAAATAATTTATATTCCTATACACCAATTAAAATACATTTAAATGATAAGTGCAACAAAAATCAGAATTTTGTTCATTAGGTTTCACTTATACTGGATTCTTAAGGTTATATGTTTTGTTTGAGATATGTCTGCTGTGAAGGCTAGTGTGAAGTCGGAGAATTTTGTTGCTGCAAGAGAGGTACTTGGACAAATTTGTCACATAATTCAGGTGAGAGTGATAATTGTTGTTTTTATTTAACTTGATGATGTTAAGATTTTGGAAGTAGGAAGCAGTGATAGGATTGGAAATAATGTTAGATTTTCCATACATTAAGGACTTTTACAGCCACAGTAACTGGGTGGAGTTGGGGAAAACCACTCCTTACTCCGCTCTGATCAGACCAGATCAACCACTGCAGAACCTAGCAGGTAAAAACCTTCCAGCAACTTTTATCACAGTAAGAAACACATTTGTCTCCACTTGTTTTAATTAATTTACCTGGTGGGGTGTGTACGGACACACACTTGCAATAAGGGAGATAAGGGGGATAAATAGGAAAGAAATAATAGCCAAAATCATTTTACAAAAGCACAGTTCAAACCAAGTCTTGAATATCGCCAAAGCATAGATGGCCCACCTTTAAATACTGTATGTCACAACCTGTTTCCAGATGGTTTTATGGATAACCTTTCTCTTGCTTTGCTCCAGGTCCATCTACTCCAACTTGTAATAGCTGTACAGGAGATGCCTGTACTGAAAACATTTTGCCTGAAGTGCTGAAACAGGGGCTCCTGACCTCAGGCTACTTTAGCACATTCTCTTCTTCAAAGCCTGCTGGTAACAATCACATTCATTTGTGTATAACAGCAAACTATTAGGATTTGTATTATTATTTTCTTTTGTTTGC